GGAAAGAGGGAGGGAGAGAGAGAGGTGGGTAATTAAAATGGAGACTGAACTAAAAGTAAATCAAACTATAGTATAGGGAGAGCTCCAGAGATGACTATTGTCAAATGTGAAAATGTGGCGGTTATGTGCATCTCCAGAAGAAACTAATTTGCATTTCAAAAGATTACAGACGACTTGAATTATAGCCCAGTGTAAGTTTGTGTCCTTCAGTTCCTCATACTGTATTACTTTTTCATTTATTCGACTGAACTAAAAGTAAATCAAACTATAGTATAGGGAGAGCTCCAGAGATGACTATTGTCAAATGTGAAAATGTGGCGGTTATGTGCATCTCCAGAAGAAACTAATTTGCATTTCAAAAGATTACAGACGACTTGAATTATAGCCCAGTGTAAGTTTGTGTCCTTCAGTTCCTCATACTGTATTACTTTTTCATTTATTCCATCTACTTTCTTGATTCCACCAATTCAGAATGGCATAGAACTTCATAATCAGACTTTTAAAATAAGGCAACATTTTGGATGGATTGGGGGTGAGAAAATGGACAGAATCAATAACACTGTAGTTAGGCTAGGAAATTGCCAAATAAACATCGATAAATATCTCAGTTGAGAATGGAAAAAAGGGACAGATTTTGTAAAAGCATGGATAGGCAAGAGTTTGCAGCCAAGGAGATTTAGTTTGCAGCCAAGGAGATTTAGATTTGATAACAGGAAAAAATAATGATAAGGATAGTTTCCTGAGTAACAGGTTATCTAAAGAGGTTGTAGAATCTCTGTTGTTGGAGATTTTTAAGAACAGGTGAGTTAAACACTTGTTAGGCAGGAGTGCTGGAACAGTTTTATCATGGAGGTGCAGAGAACCAGTGTGAACCAAATTGTAAACACTGCATATAATGGAAACCACTTCAAGACAGGGTGTGGCAGCTATGCCGTTAGGAATAGTCTCAATATATTTAATCTGGCTCCGTGTGGAGGGTTGGATTAGATGACTTCTTGAGATCTACATTTCTATAATTCTATGATCTATGGAGCATCTGGACATGAGCAAAGATGGAAACAGGAATAAAAATGGATGCCACTCTTCCATTTAAATCCTCCTGTACATAAAGTCCACACCGCATAATTCTGGCTTGTCATATAGTTCCATCAAAGTTGTAATATTCTGAAACATTCTACAGAGAAACCTGCCATAAGAATATGGCTGCCTTCACTGAGAGTCTCTATGAATTCCCAATATTTCAGTAAAGGGGCAGACAGTACACTTTGTATCAATCACCATTGCTATATATAGTACAGTTTTTAAAAATTGCATTTTTAGTCTCCCGGGTTTAGTGCTTCTAGGAAAGCCTAAGGCATAGAGTAACTGAGTGACAACTTGAGTATTAGGGACAGAGAGGAAAGAGGAGGAATTCACCACAGAATTCCAGCCAATAAAGATTATTAGAGCCCAGTCTAATATACATATATAGCATCCCCTCTCCTGAACAACCGATGTTGTGTCATGTCTGTCTCTATTACAAAGCCTATGTCAATCCATCTCAATAACAATCTTTATCCTCTCTTCCCTACATAAGGTATATTTAATGCATTCAACTCGGTGGTATCTAGATACCATATAGTAATAAAGTACCAGTTCCAAATGAGAGGACCCTAACTAGGTCTTTCCCTCAGTTTTGCTTTGTTTCTTGGATGGTTGCTGCAAGCCATTTTGCAGCTGTCTTTAACACAGAGAAGTGCCTATGTTAGTAGATTTGCTCTTCCAACATTTTTCTAGTTTGGGGTACCTTGAAAGCATCCAATTTTTTTTCTTTTTGGTCCACACAATGCTCAACATCAGCAGCATTTACACATAGGCAGGCACATGCCTCTTACCTTCTTCTGCTTTGTTCATATCCGAATTTGACATATCACTTCACTCCCTAGGTGGTCAGAACAGGGGAAATAACAATCAGGAATAATAAAGCCAAAGTGAAAACACTTCCTAAATGAACATAGCTAAATGAATTTTCAGGTAGCCTTAATGTAGGTAGTTCTCTGTTTTCCAAAGTGCCAATTCAGTCTCCACCTCATATTTTGGAACAGTGCACTACAGAGATGACAGTTTTATGCATTTGTAAAAATATGAAAATCAGACTATATAGTACATTCTCTCAGTTGATTGCAAACACTCTCAAAGCTGTTCTTAATACAGCTTTATAATGAGAGATTCCTTTAAATTATCCTAATTTCTTTTGGTATATTCAGAGTCCAATTATTTTAACAAGAAAGAAATCTTCTGCCTACAGTGTGTGGACCTTTCACAGCATTTCAGTCTGACAAACATACAGTTCTTTGTTCTCGTATTCAGGCCTGGGTATTCATTGCTAAGCTTAAGCTCTTTATATAAAAGGCTTAGCTATAAATAGATTTAGGTCTGAGCCATTACTTGTAGAGATACCACTTATATTTGTTCTTCATTCTTGCTCAAAGCTTTATTATCACAGACAGCGAGCTACCACATTATTTGCAGACAGCATACAATCTGATTTCTTCTGTGTACCTTTCATGCCTCCCACTGCTACAGGACATGTTTATCAATTTATGTTTAAAAAGCCACTGGCTCCTGGGTCTCAGCCATTTCCTCTGAATTCCTCTTATTGATAAATAAAACAAAAAATACTGTTCACTGATGTGATGCAGAAGTTGCATTTGGCAGACCAGCAGGTTGCATGCTCTTACCCAGATATCTAGTCACACACTGAGATAACATAACTTGCCCTGATTCAGGTTCTCTCAAACTCTGTCCATTGATTGTTTCCCCTATGTGGCTTAATCCTGTAAGATGCTGATTACTTCTTATGAGATAAGGCATCCTGCAGTGGACCCTAGCAGGAAACCTAAATAATCAAAGGTGTTTCTCATTAAGTAACTTTTGCTGATGCTACACAGAGATCTGATGAAAAATAGCAGCAATAGCACCTAAACTGGGCTTGAAGATTAATTGTATTTGTGTTCATATGACAGCAACTGACACTGCTTTTCTGTGCCTATGGATGAGAACACCTGTGGTTCATAGGTTGTTTACAAGGGGGATTGAAAACTGGAATCACTTTTTTAACTTCTTTCATTTTTTTCTGGCCTGTCTCAGGTATTTTTCCCTCTCAGTCAGAGGTATTCCTCTTTTTAGATGTCCATTGTTTTAAAAACTAAGTATTTTTACATTTCACAAATAATGTAATGTGCCATATGTACAGCTTTGGAGACCAAAATCCTCTATTTACTAAGAAAAAAAATTAGCTCCCATGCTCTCCCACCAAGTGTTTCCTCTCCCTGCCCCTTACATGAGAGATTAAGGCTGTGTCTAGACTGGCCAGTTTTTCCAGAAAATCAGCCGCTTTTCCGGAAAAACTTGCCAGCTGCCTACACTAGCCACTTGAATTTCCGCAAAAGCACTGACGATCTCATTTAAGATTGTCAGTGTTCTTGTGGAAATACTATGCTGCTCCTGTTCGGGCAAAAGTCCTTTTGCGCAAAACTTTTGCACAAAAGGGCCAGTGTAGACAGCTGAGATTTGTTTTCCGCAAAAAAGCCCCGATCTCGAAAATGGCGATTGGGGCTTTTTTGTGGAAAAGCGCGTCTAGATTGGCACAGACGCTTTTCCGCAAAAAGTGCTTTTGCGGAAAAGTGTCCGCGCCAATCTAGACGCTCTGTTCCGAAAATGCTTTTAACGGAAAGCTTTTCCGTTAAAAGCATTTCCGAAAAATCATGCCAGTCTAGACGTAGCCTAAAAGAGAGGAGGCTACAGCCAAGAAATCATTGATATGTAAAACTGAACTTTAGGCAGCAAAGGCAAAGAAGAAGGGGCTGATTTTAGAGATGTTACACAGGGAGCAGCAACAGGAGTCAGTGACACTGGAAGTTGGAGAAAAATAGAAAGAAGTCAAAGCTGACACTAAGGTTGAGAACTAGAGTGACAGTGAGGATCGTAGACATGTCAGCTATAATGGGAAAGAGGGGAAGGATGAATGTTTACGAGGAAAATAAGAGTTCCGTTTTTGGGAGTACACTGAAGGGATGACAGGCAAAAATACTTTCCAATTGCCGCTAGGCCACATCTGATCCAATGACCTCAAGATTTCCCATTGCTGACATTTCCTATTGCCAGTCTTCTGAGCCATCCAATCTCTCTTTTTTCTTTCTTCTAATGCTGTTTAATATTTTTGAATACATTTCAGATTCCCTTTCATATTTTATTTTCTAGGATTTGATTTCTTTCTCTGCAAAGTTATTTTTACACCATGTCCTCAGGATTTGCCTTTTCTTTCCTAGTTTATTTTTAATCTTTTATTTTTTTGTCGATTTTGAGTTTGCTTACTGCAGATAGAATGAAATGTGCTCATATAGCTCTCCAGTCCTCTCCTTTTCTTAGGCAAAGCAGCTTAACTAGAATAGTAAATTTGACTCTATTCAGACAAAATTCTTTGATCAGAGCAAATCATTTGGAAAATGTTCACCATGTCATTTACTCTCTGGATGTGTTTACACTTAATAAAATAGGGCTGGTTCATGAACATATAGCTATGCAGTCTATATTACCGACCAGTTAATTCAGTGAAGTATTGGATACATACGCTCATCTTTTTAACTGGTTTGAACAGAAATCTCAGGCACGTGCAAGTTTTCTCCTGCCCAAACTCTGGGAAGATCTTTGTGGCTGTTATGCAATAAGAACAATGGGGCCCCTTACATCAATAAAATCTGTGCCATTAACAATGAAACACAAACAGTATAACCTCTTTCACCTCCACCCACCACCAACAGTTACATTTATGTGTTACAGTGGCATTATGAATCAGTGGGGTCAATTCCAGGCCCAGGCATGGTCTGTGTCTAACACCAAGATTTTGTTTCCTGTTTTTTTTCTAACTGTAAGCCATTGGTGCCTTTAGTGGCAAAAAACATTTCCCACAAAAAAGGCATTATCATTTTACAGTTACTATTGAAGTAAACCATCACAGTGAACCTCATTGTTAGGGAGGATTACACTAACCAAAAATAGAACTAGGCAATAACAAATGAAGGACATTTGATGTTACTTTAAAATGTAAACTCCTTATCTAACCCACCCACTTTTATGGGCACATAAGTCTGAAAAAGAATGTGAACATTGTTTGGGAACCAGCCATACAGGGTCCATTAAAGGGGGGACATACTTTCCTGAGAGCCAAAGAGAATTCTGCACAGGCTCCCTATCACAGCGTACAAAAGGAGTTGGAGGAGGAATGATGTGGAGCTGACACTGTAAGGGTCCTGTCACTGGGGCCTATCCCCAACTTGCACAGCAGTTGACAGGCCATTTGCCTATGGGCTGGAACAGGGAACACAAAACAGGAGCTGAAATTAGAATTCTGTCACTCTGACTCCCCGTGGAACTCCTTGTGCAAAGACTGCTTATTCATGGGGAAGATTTTGAGCCTCAACATATCATTCAGTTATGCCTGATATTTCAGTGTGGGTGTTTTGTGATTGAAAGTACTGTTTATAAAGTAGGTCACACAGTACTGACTGTTGGGTATGCCTTTCAGATATTGTATTGGTTTTGACTTTGGATGCTATGAAAGAGGGAAAAAAGCACAAGGATTTGGGAAATGTGCTTATGAGTGTGCTTTTAGATTCTACTTTTCAAAATTAGGTGGCCATTTTACTTCTACAGAAAAAAACACACAAAGAAGAAAATGAGTAATTGTAAGGGTTATAATATGCACAAATACTCATTTTATACACATAGCTGGATATTCTGGAAGCCCAGATTTGTTTGTGTGTATATTTTTAAGATGAAACATAAGCACTTTCCATGGTGTTTGAAAAGCTGTCCCTTATTGATAAAGACAATGCAATTTCATAATCATGCATTTTTTAGTTTACAAAATCCCATTACTTGAGTATTATGAAAATAGCGCTAATGCTGCCCCTGTTTCCCAAAAGTAACTCTCAGCTTCTATTTTGCCACTGGTAAGTGTGATGCAATTGCCAGTGCTCCAGCAGGAACAGCTAAAAAGCAAAGAGGTTTAAACCACTCTCCAAAAAGACTTTGCAATTAGCTCTTTAGAAAGTTGTCTGAAACTAATGAGAAAAACTAATGACTTAAGAGTTTTAAATTAAGTGCCAAATTTTCAAATATGCTGTAATCCAGCTTTTTAATGTATGCCCACAATTTTGAGAGTGCAATAATCTCCTACTTTAGATCTGCTCAGTCAGGGTACGTCTACGCAACAGCGTTATTTAGGAATAACTGACATTATTCTGAAATAACATAGTGTGCATCTACACAAGCCTTTATTTCAAAATAATGTTGAGCTGGATGACTTCTTACTCCGACTCATGGTAACACTCATTATATGAGGAGTAAGAAGTCAAAGGAAAAGTAGACAGCACCAAAAGCCAAATTAACCTATTTCAATTTAAGTTACGCAATTGATGTACCTGAAGTTGCATAGCTTAATTCAGCTTTAGCCCTGCTGTGTAGACGTACCCTTAGAATTTCAAAGATGCAGGAATTTGGTAAGGAGATAAGACACATTGGCTTTCAAATGACCTTGAGTTCCTAAATCATATGTTGTGTCCCCAAAAGTCAGAAGCTGTGCAAACACATTTTGCTGAAGTAAAAATGGTTTCCAGAGCAAAACTGCAGGAGCAAATGTAGAGGCCATGTTTGAAATTTTTGTCTTGAATCAACCTACTGGGAAGGTTTTCTCGGAAAGTGACAGTTTGCATATTTCAGGAAACAGTTACATTCCCCAAGAGTGGGCTCTGAAGACATGGTCAAGTTTCCTTCACCTTTATCTCATCAATTGCAGGATGAAGGAAAGTGCAAACCTCTAGATATAACAAAGTTAGAAGGTGCAGTAATTGGTGTTGACAGCAGCCTGGGTAAACCATT